ACACACACACACACAAACACACGCATGGCGATGCAGGCCCCCAGCGCCCGTCACATCGACGACGATAGTGCCCGGATTCTGGAGAACAACCAGACCCTGGCCGACCGTGTCAAGGCTCTTCGCCTGGCGGCCGATGTCATCCGCCTGGACATCACCCGCCGGCGCATCACCCCAGATGCCGTACGTGCACCTCTTCCGCCGCCTCCTCCATCGTTCCCTCCATGAGCGTCCTTTTGAGCCTGTTTCCCTTTTGTCTTTCCCCCCCTCTCTCTCCCCCTCTCTATCTCTCTAACACACACACACACACACACGGACACACGCACACGCACACGCACACACCCCGCTCTCTGTCCACAGGCCTCCATCAATCGGATTACCACCGAGTCCAGTGACCTGGAGGCCGACCTGTCGGCCCACCTGGACTTCATCGAGTCCTGCAAGACCACCTGGAAGCGCCAGTGGGAGACCGAGATCAAGCGCATCGGTGCCGAGAAGAAGCTCCTTGAGGAGTGGGAGAATGACATGCTGGACCTGGATGATGAGCGCGCCGGTGTGTCGACCGTCGTCGAGCGCGTGGCCAAGGCCGCCGAGATCAAGTCCTCCCAGCGTGCCTCCCGGCCGCTTGACTGGGTGCCGCCCTCGCTGCCGGATGGCATCAGTGACATGGAGCTCCGGTCTGGCCTGCTGTCGTCCATCCAGAGCCGCGACCTCGAGCAGGAGAGTCTCAAGCGCATGAAGGCCCTGGAGGAGACCCAGAAGGTGCGCACATTGCTGGCTTTCCCCTTGTCTTCCTCCGCGCGCCATGTCTTTTGCCTTTGTCCCCGGGCGCGGCGGGATGTGCCTCGGCATTCGTGCCAACAGAGCGCGGCCGCACCGGACAACTAACCAGCCCTTGGCTCCTGTGCTGCTTCCCCCTTCCTCCGGACTGGTCTCGCCTCCGGGCCATGATATGATGTCCTGCACACAGTTCCGCAAGATGACCCAGGTCGAGGAGGTGAACCCCTTCCAGTCGGAGCTGAGCTCCTTCGTCGGCCAGGGTCGCCTGCGCAAGACCAGCGAGAGCTTCGAGGAGATGGAGCGCGAGCGTGAGGCTCGCGCCACGCGCCTCATTTTCGAGGGCCTGGCGAGCATTGCCGAGGCGGCGGCCGCCAAGCGCGGGTAGTGTGCCATGCACGCCCTGCTGCGCGCTGCCCTCCCTTTGCCTCGGCCGCCTGATGCAGGTCCTCCCTTTCCTCTTCGCTGCGCGCATGGTTTTTCCCCTTCTTGTGCTCCCCCTCCCCTTGTCCATCCCACTCCTGGCTACGTGTTCTCCCCTCTCTTCGTCCCTCCCCCTTTCTTCACCCCCTCCCTCCCTCCCCCTCCCTTCATGATCTCCCGAGAGTCAATCACAGAGTGTCATCGGCCTCGGGCGATCCCGGTGAGAGGGGGAGGGGGGCGGCCAATAACATGAGAGGTCGAAGGAGAAGTCCTGTCCAGAGGCGGGCCCATCCTCAGTTACCTCGCCGCCGGTGTGCCGGTATCCTCCCCCCTTTCCCTCGTTCTCCCCTCCGCCCTGGGTGCGTACATGTGCACGCGTGCGCACATCTCCCACACTACCTGCGCCCCCTTTAGCCAGCAATAAACAGCAATATTCCTCTGTGTGTGTGTGTGTGTGTGTGCGTGCATGCGTGCGTGCGCGTGTGTTTGAGTTTGGGCCCCGTCTCCAGGTGCATGGGTGCCACATTTTTTGGAAGGTGGTAGATTTTGTGCTTGTATTCTTGCCCGGGGCAAATCTCTCGAGGAGTGAGCATGCTGTCGGAAGGGCGGAGCAGAGCCGAGGAATCCACGGCGTCAGATACCTTGCCCCTGGCATGCCACTTAGCCTTCGCGCCACTGGGCCGCGCACTTGGTGCACTTGTAGAAGGTGGACATTGGCTCATCAGCCGAGCGGATCTGGATTTGCATGAAGTAGGCCCGGCGGTTATCGCACTTCGGGCAGGGCACTGAGATGGAGCGGAGCGCCAGCGGGATGAGGGGTCAGTAGCCGCGGGAGGGGTGCATTTCAGGCGGCAGATGCACCGGCCAGTTGCCAAGCGGGGCGCACCCTCCGTCGAGTCGACATTATCCCAGGAGCCCTCGCCACCGAGAACATCATCCACCTCCTTGCGCTTGAGGATGATGCGCGAGGAGATCTGCCGGAGGAGGAGCAAGGATGAGAGAAAGGAGGGGGGGGGGAGGGCAGGTGAGTTTGCGTCATCCCAAGGACGGCATGCGGCGTTGCGGCGTTGCGGCGTTGCGGCGTTGCGGCGTTGCGGCGTGCAGACAGGCGTGGTCATGTACCTTGCGCTTTATCGAATGCACATAGGGGCATGTCTGACAAGCAAACTGGAAGTCGCCGATGTCACTGGCGTCCGAGTTCACCAGAAGAACATTCCCGCAGCCGGGGCAGAAAAGCATGGTGGTGAAGGCCGGTGCACGCACGCGCAAGGGGAGGGGACGGCGAGAAAGAGCAGAGAAGAGGAGGGCGGGCGGGCGGGCGGGGAGGAGGGCAGGCTGGTTGTTGTGCGGGGGTAGCCCAGCGCCGAGTCCGCCCCGCCCCAGGGGCGGCGCCCAAAAAAAGCCCCACACCAACGCACCTCCCAATGGTAGGGCCCCATCGCACGGGCCAGGAAGGGCGGCGATGGCCACCTGGAGCGGGCGACCAATCGTTGGGACCTGGCCTGGCTGAACACGCCCACATGCTCCCCGTCGGGCAATGCGGGCGAGGTCGGCATCCGCGGCGCATGGGGCCGGTCCGGGGGTCGGGGGGGGGGTGGAGTGGGGGATACAAGGCCACCCGCGCTGCACCGTCCGCCAGGCCGACGGAGAGATTCCTCCCCCCTCCTCCCCCTCTGCCTTTCTTTTTCTCTGCCCCTTTCCCTCCCCCCCCCTTTCTCTCTACCTCCCTCTCTGTGTCCAGTATGCCGCCAAGGAGCAAGCCAGCCGCCCGCGGCGGGAAGAAGGCCAAGAGCGAGCGCCCGGACTCCGTGGTCCTAGATCTCGACGCGCGTCTCGAGTACCTAACCGGCTTCCGGAAGCGCAAGCTGGAGCGTCAGCAAAAGGCCAAGCGCGAGCTGCAGGCCATGCAGAAGGAGGCCCGCAAGGAGTTCCGTACCAAGGTGCGCCCCTTCCCTCGGTCTTCTTCTCGCCCCCTGCTCGCACCCGAGCCCCGGGGGGTGTCTCCCAGCATGGTGGCTTTCCCCGCCGCCCTCTGTCCGCGGCTGCTGTTTAACATCGGGATGTGCAGAAACGCACCGAAAATGAGCATGTCATCTCCGAGTGGAAGGCCCGGCGTGGCCTGGCGCATGTGGGCAACAGCGAGCTGATCAATGCCCTGCTGCCGAGCTTCGGCGGCGACGTCGCTCTGGCAAAGAGCCGCGAGCAGAAGCACATTGATCGCCTGGCTGCCGAGAAGCGCAACCAGGCCCGCGAGGCCGAGGGGTCGGATGCCGAGAAGTCGGATGCCGAGGATTCGAATGCCGAGGATTCGGATGCCGCCGGCTCGGACAGCGACACCGAGGCGGACAACCTCCTGCAGCGTGACAAATACTCGGTCAACGACTCGGTCAGCATCATTACCTCGATCACCGAGTTTGAGGATGAGAGCTTCGGCTCGCGCCTGCAGTCGCTCATGGGCGGTCGCCCGGGCAATGACAGCAGCGCCTCGGATGGCGAGTTCTCCGACGGCGAGGAGGGTGACGCCCACACCGCCGACGGGACGTCGGCCGAGGACGCGCATGCCCCTGTCGGCAAGAATCCCGCCATGTCGGTTGACGACCTGAAGCAGGTGCGTGGTGTGCTTGCCTGCCCTTTCCCCCCCTCTTTCTTGCGCCCTCGGCACATGGCCCCATCTGTCAAGTACCAGCCCGTGATGATACCCACTTCTCACTTCTATTTGCTCCTCTCCCCCCTTTCTTCCTCTCTCTTCCTCTCTCTCTCTCTCTTCCTCTCTCTTTCTTCCTCTCTCTCTCTTCCTCTCTCTCTTCCTCTCTCTCTTCCTCTCTCTCTTCCTCTCTCTTCCTCTCTCTCTTCCTCTCTCTTCCTCTCTCTCTTCCTCTCTCTTCCTCTCTCTCTTCCTCTCTCTCTTCCTCTCTCTCTTCCTCTCTCTCTCTTTCTCTTGCCCACCATCTCCTCTGGACCGTCTCCAGCGCGCCAAATTCCTCTCCAACAAGCTCTCCCGCTTGTCAAGTGGGTGCGTGCCACATCCATTCCCCGCCCACTGCTCCCTCTTTCTTCCTGCCTCTCCTCTCACACATGTCACCACAACCTGGACCTCCGCCCTCGCGCGCATTCCCACCCACGCACCTGCACACGCTCTTCCCTTTTCAGGGCCAAGCGCAAGTCCGGCTCGGGCGGCCGCAAGCGCGGCGGCGGCGGCGGCGGTGGCGGCGGCGGTGGTGGCCGCTCTGCCGGGAAAGCACGCGCCCGCTCTGGTGGCCGTCGCTAAATTGCCTTGTGTCCTATCTATGACCCTCCCTCGGGCCTCCCTCCTGTTCGACATTATGACATGCCTTCATCTAGCCTTCCCCCCATGATGACAGTACACAAATATAGAAGTGGAATCGTGCTGTTCTGCTGAGAAAAATCACGTAATCCCCCCGCCCCTCGCCCAGAAGGCACCCACCAAACCCGGCCAGGCCGCCTCCACAACCCCCTTCGATGATGATTGACCCACTTGAGAACGATGGGAGAGAGAGAGAGCGAGAGCGAGGACCGGAGAGAGAGGGGGGACAAAAAAAAGAAGAAGGAAACCCGACATTGGTTTGAAGTGTTTTTATTGGAAAAAAAAAAGAGGCACTGAAATGTGCCCGATCAAGGGCAGTTGGCGGAGCGGACAGCGAGGGTCAAGCACAGACAGGCTATCTCCATCACGGTCACTACACGCCTCAGGGGGAGGGGGGAGAGGGGGGGGGGGGGCAATAATATGTGTCGGTTTTCGTGTACGCGAGTGAGAGAGGGAGGCAGGCGCGGCGTGCGCGCGCGCGCGCACTTGTGAAAAGAAGGCGGCATGAGGGGGCAGAGGGGAGAGGGGGATGGGAATATGCATGCACACACAGCGTGCACATCAAAAATCAGCCGACGCAAATGCGCGGGGCAATGCACATGCTCATCATCTCTTGGAAGAGGAGCTTGGCAGCGTAGGGGATCTCCACCTGGGAAATGTAGATGTTGTTGCTGCACGCGCGGCAACTGAGATGCGCCTTGCGCAGATTGGCCGCAGCGAAGAGGCCGCACAGGTCACACACATGAGCCCGATAGCAATCGGACTGATAGAAGAGCCGCTCCTTCAGGAAAGCCGCCATGCCGTGGGCGATAATGCAATCGCGCTCCATCTCACCGAAACGCAGACCACCATCACGCGCACGACCTTCCATCGGCTGGCGCGTAAGCTGGACCATGCGGCCGCGTGCACGCGAGTGAATCTTGTCATCGACCAGATGCTTCAGACGCTGGTAGAAGGTGGGCCCGAGGAAAACCTGCGCATGGAGCTTGCGCCCGGTGTGGCCATTGTACATGATCTCAAAGCCACGCTTCTGGTAGCCCTGCTTTTCCAGGGCCTCGGACACACTGTCCACGGTCATATGGCCGAAGGCCGTGGCATCACCATACACACCATTCAGCGAGGCCACCTTGGACAGGAGACACTCGATCAAATGGCCAACGGTCATTCGCGAAGGAATGGCATGGGGATTGATGATCAGGTCCGGCACAATGCCCTCCTCTGTGAAGGGCATGTCCTCCTGCCGGTAGGTGATGCCCACGGTGCCCTTCTGCCCGTGACGCGAGGCAAACTTGTCGCCGATCTGCGGGATGCGGATATTCCGCAGACGCATGCGAATGCACTTGATATGCTCCAGGTCCTGGGTGACAATGACCTTGTCAATGACACCATGCTCATTCTCGCGCAGGATCTTCGAATGGTCACTGTGAAGCTCGGACCCGGTGGAAATGACCACCTTGCCGATGATGGCGTCATCCTTGCCGACCTGGATGCCAGGCGGCACCAGGCCATCGGTGTCCATCTTGTCCAGGTTGCTGCCCTTGTTCTTGTCCATGCGCGAGATGTCCGGCTTGGTGATGACCAGCGAAGAGCTGGCAATGGTCTCGGCGCCCTGGGGTTTTTTTTTGCCCCAAACAAAGGGTGACAGAAACAAGCGTCATGACGGAGAGAGGGGGGCAAAGGGGGCAAAGGCCACACACACACACACACACACACGCACGTACGCACGCACGCACAGGAGGGCCGGGTTAGAAAGAAGGGGATAGCTCGAGGAAGAAACACCGGGGAGGGGGGACAGCTGAAGAAAAGGGGAACCGCCAGGACAAACGCACCTCCTTCTCCTTCTCGATGTACGTCCGGAAGTAGATGGACCGGAAGAGACCACGATCAATGGCCGACTGGTTGATGATGATGGAATCCTCCTGGTTGTAGCCCGAGTAGCAGGCAATCGCAGAGATGGCATTCTGCCCGGCCGGCATGTCACGGAAGTGCATGAAGTCCATGGCACGAGTACCACACAGCGGCGCCTGCGGATAGTACAGCACGTGGGCCGTGGTGTCCATGCGCAGCATGAAGTTACTGGCATACACACCCATGGCCTGCTTGCCCATGGCAGCCTGGTACACATTACGCGGGGACTGGTTGTGATGGGCGAAGGGAATGAGCGAGGCCGCCACACCGAGAATCATGGACGGGTGAATCTCACAGTGGGTGTGCGTGTCGCAGTGCTTGCGCACAACCAGGTCCGTGGGCACGGCACTGGTGGCAATGCTTTCCGGGGTCATGGCAATCATGGAGCACTCCTCCTCCTCGACATCCAAATACTCGACGATGCCGTGGTTGAGGAGCTGCTGCCAGCGCTGCGAGTCGGACTCGGCCGTCCCGTCGGACTTCATGCTGCGCAGCTCGGCCAGAATCTCCCGGGTGATGTTCAACGTCGGGACATCGCCATGGCGATCGACGATCAACAGCGGCCGGGTAATGCGGCCGGCATCGGTGTTGATCCGGATCTCCCCCTCGCGGACATCCATCACCACCGACATCTCCGAGAGAATGAGCGGATCCAGGCCGTCATTGTCATTCTGCAGGATCTTGCCATTCCGGCGCTGATACCGCAAGCTGTCGATCAAGTCCGAGGGGTAGGTGGTGATGCCGAACCAATCGCCATTCAGGAAGACCTTGGTGGCATTGCGCACACTTTCCGGCGAAATCTCCGACAGCCGGTCCACACCGGAATCCGACAGCAGACCGATGATCATCTTTCGATGCTCATCATCGATGATGCCGCGGGTGATGTACGCCATCAGGGCCAGGTTCTTGACCAGCCCACAGGACCCACCCTCCGGGGTCTCGGCCGGGCAGAGAATGCCCCAAGTGGTGTTGTGGAGCTGCCGCGGGCCGACACTCTTGCCCTCGCGCCCGGCCGGCGACGTCAACCGACGGAGGTTGGCCAGGGTCGAGGCATAGGTCAGCCGGTTGAGCATCTGCGACACACCGGACCGGGCGCTCGAGGACTCCTTACTGTCGCCGGTCCAGTTGCCGGTCGACAGGGCATACCGAATGCCACCGCCAATCATGTCGCCATTGAGCGGCCGGCGCACCGACGCCTGGTCCAACTTCGACAGGAGGGTCTTCTCCAGCGAGGACCCGATGTGCCGGCGATAGCGCTTGAACTGCGTGCGGAAGAGCTCGGTCAACAGGGGCCCGGCCAGGTCACAGCGCTTCTTGGCATAGTGATCACGGTCATCCTGCGGCCAGCGGCCCAGGGCCACCATCAGCAGCCGGTGGACCATGTGCCCCAGGAACATGACCTTCTGGCGGACATCGCCCACCACATGGGGCAAGAGCTCCTTGCGCAGGAGCTCGCTCGCCTGGCGCGAGGCCGCATCCACCGACACACCCTCGGTGTTGGCGCGCAGGCCGATGAACGCCTGGGCCGACCGCCGGTCCTGGTAGTCGAAGGCCTGCTCGATGGTGGGGGCCAGGAAGTCGATCATCTCATTGTCATCCAGGTTGTAGCAAATGTGCGAGAGAATGTCCGAATCCGACTCAACACCCATGGCGCGGAAGATGATGAACAGGGGAATGGGCGTCTTGATGTTGGTCAAGTGCACCTCAATCAGCCGGCCGGGGCCGTCGTTCAGGGACTTGGACATGGTGATGTACACCGAAGAGGGGGGCCGGTTGAGGCGCGACGAGACGGACTTGATGTGCGCCGTGTAGGAGTGCTTGTTCGACTGGGCATGGAAGACATACACCTGGTTGTTGGCCAGGCGCTCCTGCGCGATGATGACCTTCTCATTGCCATTGATGATGAAGTAGCCGCCCTGGTCGAAGCGGCACTCGCCGGTCTCGTAGGAGGACCGCGAGCGCGAGGGGTTGTTGACGGAGGCCGTGATGGAGGAGCACCGAGAGGACCGGACCATGATGGGGATCTGTTGGGTGCCGCACAGTGTTGTGTGTGTGTGTGTGTGTGGGTGTGTGTGTGTGTGTTTGTGTGTGTGTGTGTGAGAGAGAGAGGGAGGGGAGGGGAGGTCGGGAAAAGGGCCCTCTCGGGCGGTTCAGGAGAAAGGCCGGGGGAACGAGCGAGGAACGCACGCGAGCAATGGCGAACTTGAATTGCGACTGGTCCACACCGTCGGCGGTGCTCTTACGCTGGGCAATCTGCACGTTGAGTGCGGCCTCGTAACTGAGTCGCATGACAGGACCAGGGGGCGGCAGGAGAAGAAGACGGGAGAAAGATCAGGAGTCAGTGGGCATTTGAGGGGGGGAGGGGGGGGGGACGGAGGAGGAGGAGCAAGAGAGGGGGGAGGGGGACCGCCCTGAGGGAAAGGGGGGACGCACGTCAAGCCACGCAGGCGCGCCTCATTCGGCAGGAGGAACTTATCGTGGTAACTTCCGGTCCGCTCGCACTTGTCGTCCTCGGCACCGGGCGACAGGAGAGTCGGGTCGTGGAACTCCAACGAGAAGGTGATCTAAGCGAGGGGGTCAGACATGACGCTGCGGGAGGAGGGGGGGGGGCGGAGAAAGGGAGAGAGAGAAAAGGGACGAGGGAGGGAGGAGGGAGAAGAGCCGGGAGGCGGGACGTACCTCATTCTCATTGACCGTGGAGTACTGGCGCTGCACACCGACGGTGATGGTGGACTCGTCGGTGATGATGGCCGACACATTGCGCAGGGCAAAGTTGTCGAAGGAGTCCAACTGCTGACGAACCAGCTGCTTGTCAGAAAAGAAGGCCTCAATGACCGGCCAGAAATCCTCCTGGCGCAGCTGGCCGTCGGAGTCCACACTGCTGTAGGAGTCGAACGCTGGAGCAGCAGGGAGGGGAAGGGCGGGGGTGGGGGAAGGCAGGAGAGAGAACCAGAGGAGGAGGGAGGACAAAGGG